AAGCGAAAACTTTTCGACTCTAAGGTTGACCTCCATAATTCAAGTTTACCTTCAACTCCCTCTCTAGTCTTATCAACAAGAAGAATATAATCAGCAAAAAGCATACACCAAGGTACATCCTCTTGCAAATGTCTAGTGAGAACATTCATGACTAAAACAAAACGATATGGGCTTAAGGCTGATCCTTGATGTAACCCAACTGAAATAGGAAAATACTTGGTCAAACCACCTTGTGTTTGAACACAAGTAATAGCTCCTGCATACATATCTTTAATAATTTGAATATAAGCGTTATTAACTCATTTCTTATCAATAACTCTCCATAGCACTTCTCTTGGAACTTTATCATCTGCTTTTTCTAAATCAATAAACATCATATGTAGATCCTCCTTATTTTCTCTATATTTCTCCATCAAACCTCTTAATAAATGTATTTCCATAGTCAACCTACCCGGCATGAATCCAAATTGATTTCGAGAAACATTAGTATCACGCCGCAACCTATGCTCCATAACTCGCTCCCATAGTTTTAAAGTATGACACATTAACTTAATTCCTCTATAATACGCACAATCTTGTGCATCACATTTATTTTTAAAAATAAGAATTAACACACTCATCTGGCATCTTTTTAGTCTTCAAAATAGTATACAATGATCAAAGAGAAGAGAGAGACCAAATATAATTATGGCTAGATGTTGTGCTAAATTTGGGCAAAATAAAATTAGTGGCTCATGCAAAAGTCATCATAAATAAATGGAGAATGTGGATTCATATCTATGGCTAGAAGTTGTGCAAAATAGAGAATACCTATTCATATAATTGGTTGGAATTAATCAAATGAAATTGATGATGATAATAATATTTAGTTGAAATTACATAAACAAATAGATTGTTCATTCTATAAATTGTAAAAGATTTAAGGCACTCACATCACGTAATTTATTTCGAGGGAGCATGCGTAGGACAGCCTTGCGAATCACTTCTGTTGGGTCTTTCACCATCTGGTCTTTCAAGCTTCTTTCCTTAAGGTGGCCAACATACCTGGAAAATTGATGATGAAATCAATAAGAAGCACTTGAGGGACAATAAAACTAGTTGAAATCATTGACCAGTCCAAGGGAAAAGCAATGGTAATTACCCAGTGTGCCATCGATAAAATTTATTTGTTAATTTTCTTCCAGTCACACAAATATCTTTTGCATTAAGCACAACGCACATGTCTCCATCCTCACGATATGGTGTATATGTTGGTTTATCCTTCCCTTGGACAACAGTTGCTATTTGAGATGCCAATCTTCCAAGGACCTAGTCATGGTGGAACACTGATTGTCATAGCTTTCGAGAAATTAGATTATATAAAGCAGCTTCGAAAATCTAAACAGAAAGGTGCACTTTTGTGGAAAATGAGAGAGAGCAAAACAACCTGCCCTTTTGCATCAAAAACCCGCCATCTTAGGCCCTCTAAATTGATCCTCCGTAGTCCAGAAAGTGCTTTCTGTAAAACATGTTAGGAAGCTGACATTACCGCCACATTATGAAGAAAATACTGAAAAAAGCTTTTGAAAGTAAGAAAAACCACCATTATGTAAAAGTGAAGATGAAGACAACTTAAAGTCTATACTTGTGCAACATCAAAAAGAGAGAGCAATAATGATCTCAAGATGGAGAGAAATCCTTCCAATAGAATTGTGAGAAATCTAAACCCTCTGAAAGCATTCATGAACTCTATGCCACACCCCACGATGACCCGTCTAGGTCAACACGGGGCGAGTAGGAAAATACAACTATGCCTTGCCTATTATGATTTTTAATTTATAGAAAATTTAAAATATTGATCATTCCACTGAGCACAACATAACATTTTCTAGCACGGAAGTAAAGCTTGTCGCTAATCATCAATACATCTACAGAGCACTAAACAATTTCAAGAATATATCTATCATCAAAATTCATATAAATTATAAATGGGCATACATGTCAAAGCTCTATCGTACAACAAAATTGTATAGAAAAAACTGTACACCCAAAACACGAAAAACCTATTGTCACACCCCGCACTGCCCCCTTTCAAACAAGGCAAACAAGGCAGATAACTTAGAAAAATCATGTCATAATTACAAAGCAGCTAAACACCCAAAAATATGTTCATAAAAATAATTCACATACCTCTGCTCAGGAATCATTTCATAATAAAAAAAACAAAACATAGGTTTTAAATTATCCGGATTCTAGTCAGCTTTCATATCTTTATCCTTACTCTTTCTTGTAACAACAGCTAGAATAAAATTTTGATGAGCTATGAGGCTCAGAAAGATATTCAATTCTAATACAATATTCAAATCTATGAAACACAATACTTACCTGTGTATCAACAAGAGGAAATAAGAATCGCATGTACTCATTTAAAAGGAAATATGCTAGAATGGAATCGTTTAACAAATAAAAATAATATCGCATGTAAGAATTATATTCATCTGAATCAACCATTCGAGTATGTCTCATAAAGTCAATATCATTACCACATATCACATATTGCGAACATCATCAATCATGAGTAAATCATAACTCACAATATGTAGATCGCAACAGAAGTGAATCGCACCTCAGATCGCAACAGAAGTGCGTACCTAAATGCATTCAATGAGTAAATCATAACTCACAATATGTAATCATCCTTAAAAAAATTTATTTATCAAATAACTTCCTTTTTCAGCCTTAGAAATTGTCATGTCCATATGGTTAGGTACTTGAGGTCGCACAGTCTCTATTGCCGTAGACTTTATATTATAGCCCGTAGGCTCCTGAGGTCGCACTGCCTCTATCGCCCGTAGACTTCATATCATAGATGGTAGGCTCTTGAGGTCACACTGGCTCTATCGCCCGTAGGCTTTATATCATAGCTCATAGGCTTCATATCATACCAAAGTCGCACTGCCTCTACTGGGTTGCACTATCCATTATGGTCGCATTGCCCCCTTCACCTACCACTTAATATGACAATTCTCAAGCTTTTCTCATCATTGCATTTTCCCTTCCAAGTTGTGTGACAATTGCCTATACATAGAAACATGAATGTGCGAGCAATTTAACATGGAAGTCAAGCATATCAAATATAGACAGGTATGATTGTATGAATCCTATATTATGACTCATCATACAATAGATGATAGAATTATACATATGAGCATCATGTAATAAAATAATTGATTTATATGTGAAATGGTTGCATGTATTCTCAATCAACTTTCATATTATACTAAAAATGTATATCTTACCTCCTCGACATGCAAACTCACAAATTCAAACACCTCATGCCTACCTTCTGTTGAATCTAGTGAAAAGGTTGTTAAACCTAATTAAATGTCCCAAGGCTAACCAAGAGGGGGGGTGAATTGGTAATTTAAAAATTATACTTATACTCTTGAATTTTTAGAAAACCTTTTTAATTATTTATGCAAGTTAAATTTAAAGTTTAAAAAATAAACTTTTCAACCAGAGTAAACAACTTGCAATGAAATTAAATGCGGAAGAAAAATAAGAAAGAGCGCACCAGATTTATAGTGGTTCGGTCAAACCTTGACCTACATCCACTCCCCGGAGGCACCCTCCGAGTATTGCACTAATACCACAAAGTGACTCTCCTTTTGCCCCCAACGCAAGGCGGAGAAGCCTGTACAAAATCACTTTCACCTTCCCCGGTGCGGCGGAGTAGCCGGGTTCTTTGACACCAAAGAGATTCTTCTCGCCAAAACTTCCCTCAAGACGACCCTTGAATCCGATGGTACTGAGGTGCAAGTTCGCCGGAGCAACCGTGTGAATATCCCCTCCACACTCCCTTGAAATCCCCTCCAAGGATCTTCTCCCTCTCAAACTCCACCCTTTCCTCTCTCCCTTTCAAGTTCTCTCTTCTAGTTTTCTCCAAAAGAACGAAGACACAATGACTGTCAAAGATACACTTTGTCGTCATTTTACACCCTCCAAGTGTCGGCAGAGAACCGGACCGATGTTGTTGAACTTCACTTGAGAGCCTTCAAAGGAGATGGGCAGAAACAAAGAGATCTTCTTCTTCAAGTAACCCTGTGAATACCTCACAAATCCCTCACTTGATCTCTCACTCTTCACTCTTACAATATCTCCCAAACACTCACACTTAATGATCCCTCTCAAAAGAAAACAACTCCAAAGGTACTTGTAATAGTTTATATGAGTCCTTATATAGAAAGGAGAAGAAAAACCGTCCAAAAAACAACTAAAATCATATTTTTTCTGCGCACTGGATTGTTCTGTACGAACCTGAGTTAGTACGGACGAACTGTGTAAAAAAATGTTCCGTACGAACCATTTGTGCATCAGTACGAACCAATTTCGTCCTGTGACGAAATAGGTTTGTCCCGGGACGAAATATTTCGTCCGGTACGAACAGTTATATCAAAGGTCGGTTCCGAAAACTACAGAACATTGCCAGAGACTGCCATAGTCGGTTCCCTTCGTCCTGGACGATCAGAACTTAGAAAAAATATTTTTCTTCAGTTTCTATTCATTCCATTGTTCTTACGAGGAGATAACTGATCAGATCGTCCCGTACGATCAATACAAAATATTTAAGATCTTCTCAAGTGTGTGTGTTTTAATTCACTTAATTTACAATCACTCCCTTTCAAGTTTATTTCAAAGAAAAGTACAAGCTTCAAATCATAGAGTACTTCATGATGAATTGATTTTGAAGTCTTTGTTTGTCTGGAGTTCGATTGTCCTGAAATGTTAGTCCACACAAGAGCAAAAACAAATCTTCCAAAAAAATGTTAGGAGATAACAACACATAAAACAATAATATTTAGAATTATCAAAATTATACAAGTTGCAAGAATGTAAAACATGCAAATAACAACTTTCCTAACAATCTCCCCTTTTTGATGATGGCAAAATAATTATTGTTTATATAATTTGAAATTATAAGAATCTTCTAAACTCCCCCTGAAATGATGAACTCATGAAAATAAGGAGGCATTTGAATTCAAAAAAAAAATTGTTTTTTAAAATTTTT